AAAAACTGACAGAAACAATGTGCAAACAACTGGCCTCTGTGCGATGAGTCTGCATGAAAAATGGGGACTTGGGTATCTTAAGAAGAAAATAAAGCATCACGGGAGAAAAAAAACCCACAGTTTTGAGGTAGTTTTCTTGAGTATAAAGGGAAGAAAAAGCTTGCTATTTTGTTATCCTACAAAACTGGTGCAGATGCCATTTGGCAGGACAGACGTAAGCAGCAAGTGGCTATGGAGTTTAAGGCCTCTCTTCCACACAAGCTTCATCTACGGGGCTTTACCTGCCTGCATGTAAAGGACAGAACAATCCTGGTGGGACTGGCTTGGTTTTGGCTGTGTCGGAGAGCTGCAAATTGAGATTTGTTGCAACAGGCTGCAAAGGGCAGTCTGCAGAATGTAATCTCTTATTGATCCTTCGGGCAAGGCCAAACAGAAATACAAAGAAACAAATGGAACACACTAAACGGTTTCTTCGGTTTTTCAGTTATTTATTTCTGTAAGTGCCTATTTTTTCCTATTTAAGCATTCAGTCGTGCAGCTGGTTATATGAAGCGTCTTCTCATATCCATCAACTCAGATAGTGTTTATTCCTCTTCATGAACCTGAAATGCAGTTGAAAGAGATGAAAAATGGAAGCATTGAGAGAGTTTTAGAGCAAGCTTTTGAGAAAGCAATAAAAGCTTCTGCTCCTATGACATTACCAAGTTATATCTGATGTATACCAGCACTACACCAGCATGTTATATTGAAGCTAGCAGTTAAGTCCTGCCTTACTTCAGCTAACAATATGGGTCTCTTGTTGGAGTGCTAGCACGTGTGTTTCCCTGTGACTGCGGGTGACTGATGCAGCCCAGCTACAGTGCTGTTCTCTCTGAGCAACACGTGCTTTCCAGCGTTCCCAGGGATACACGAGCTATTTCCAAGTGCTGCACTATTAAATATGAAGCCTCTTCTGTGCCCTTACATCACACCAAAGGAGATGGGCCAGAAATAAGAGTTCGGTAACATAAATCCATCTGACAAAAAACAGGCATCCACTCCTCCGACTTCTGAGTATTTGAGACAGAAACAGTAGCAGGTACAGAAACCAGTAAGAGACAGGTAAACTACACTCTTAACTAACTTGCAGAAAAATAAGCTATTCCCATCATTTACCTATTTCAGTGTCTGTGTGATGGTAGGGCTTATGAAATTAGATGAGTTTTTATTTGTTTTGTATGGCTGGAATAATTTGAAGACAAAATAAATATGTGACATGTTTACTTTTAAAAATTGCAAAACATCTGTGAGCTTCACTTGCTTCCATCATATGTAAATGCAGGAAGACCCAGTTGCTCGGGTAGTTTTATGTAGATCTGTTCTGGCTAGGGGGGCTAGTAACTTACATCAATTGAAGGTGACTCTCTTAAACCAAGATAAAAGCAGAAATTGGAGATTTTATTCCTGCCACAGAATGATGGACACAGCAGAGAGGAGGTGGTGATGGCATAGATCCAGTGTGATCAACATAACAAAATGATACAGAAAGGGTTCTTGGGCTTAACTCAGGACTTGTCACACCTGTAAAAATTCTAAAGACTTTAACCATAGGAGTTTGTCCCACTTGCAAATGAAATAGACAAAGCAATGAGGCAGCTTCTACAAGCAATGGTCCCCTGCTTGCTTGCTTGGCCTGGTTCCCATAGGCAAGCAAGTGTAAATAAGCAAATTGGTGCTTGCAGTTTCAAATGCAGCTTCCCAGGCACCTTTCATTTTTATCAATATCACCCTACTCCTCTTTTGCCCAAGTTTTGTTGAAGTGCAAACAAACACAACTATATTTCTAATTATTAATGATTTCCCAGCACCCTAGTGACTATTCACTGTTAATTTCTTTTCATCTGGCCCTTCAAGTCAAAATGTCTTTATTGAAAGAGCTGACTTAAGAGTATATTAGCAACCTGCTAGTGCAGTTATCCCCGGGCTGTATCATGTATGTAGGAATTTACATCTTAAGAGGGAAAAGAGATTGCAGGTTTTTAGTCTTTCTCAAAAAAAAAAAAAAAACTAAATAAATGAATAAGAAATTGGTTCTGGGGAATGGCTGCTGAGCAACAAAGGTTGAATGACAACACTGAGAGGATGGGCCTTTCACTTCTCATAAGCTTCAGACTGCTGTCCTATAGACTTTTCCTAAAGAGTTACTTTAATGCAAAAATAGTGTAGACTGAAACAAAAATACAGTAAGAAACTTTTTTTTTGCACCCCATGCTATTTTAAGAGATGCAACAGATCTTTATGTAGATATCGTATGCACTCACATTTATACCATATGTTTAACCATACCTTTTTCATGCCAATATCTCTTGACTTGCTCCTCAGCTTATTCACCTGGGATTCAGCTATTTCAGCCCTTTCCTCAGCATCATCCAGGTCATGTTGCTGCTTTCTGTACTTGGAAAGGTACAGATTGGCTTGTGCCTCCTAGGGAGAGGAAACAGTGAGGCTGAGCAGCTCCTCTCAAGGCGAAGCCAAGTCCCCAATTGCAACCAAGGCAGAAAGTGCTTGGTGTGACTTGGTAATGGCCCTGTAGGCAGCACTCGCTCTTGGAGGACCGAGTTGGTCACTTAGCACATTTGATGTTTCCAGTGGCACTCTCCATTTTGAGTGAGTAAATGGGGAGGCTCCTCCACCTGCCTCTTGAGGCACTAGTAGGGGAATAAATTGTAGGTTCCCCTCTCTCCCTGTGTTTAGGCAAATTATACTGCCACACTTCTTAAATATAATTACTGTATATACCATATATTTTATATATTATAAATATATTTATAAAGACATCGTTTATACAAACATAAATGCACAAGCACTCAAAATGTGTATTTATACCGAAAGCTTCTACTGCTAAAGACTGTGGTGATAGAACAGTGAATTTCTCAAAGAAGAAAGAAAAGGGAAAAAAAAGGCCAAACTTCCACTTACAGCTTCTTCTGCTTGGTGTTTGTAGCTCTTCACTTTTAACTGTAACTTGTCAATCAGATCCTGCATTCTGGCCAGATTCTTCTTATCTTCTTCTGACTGTACCAAAACACCAGTGAATGGGTTAATAGAGTAGAAAGGTCTGAAGGCTCTCCCAAAGTCAAGCAGTTATGGGTGGCATATGTATTATGGAAAGGTTTAGTTAGAAATACAAACACACTATACTGTGATCACCCTGCATGTGGATGAGAAAATAACTATAGGTTATTTAACTATAGGGCTGAGAAGCACTCTTGTCATTACAGCGAGCCTCATTATTGTGTGAGACAGACTGATGAGCAAGCCTGAAATGCATTTGGTTTACTTCTTTTTAAAATTCGGAAGCACTTTTGTTCAAAGGAGCCAGGTTGGAGCGGAGCTCTCTCTACCCACAAAAGGACCAGCTAATTCTGCCTACTTGTGCACGAGCATACTGAGAAAACAACCTTAAGCCTGTATGTGGGAAAGTCATGGTAAAATAGCAGGTAGGAAACTAAAATCTCCTTAAGCAGATGGATGGAATTATGTTCCTAAGAATGCTGACAGGATTAATGCTCTGAAGACTTGTTTTTTTCCCTGAAAGATGAGCACCAACAGCAGCTGTTAGCGAGCCTGCTAGAGGCTTAGCCTTGTGGTGCAGCACCAGGTGGCTGAGCCCTGCGAAGTGCCAGTCCTACGAGATGCACCAGACAAGGAGCCAGGCTCATGGCTGCCCCACCACGAAGCCAGAAAGGACATTTGGTGATGGTGTGCTCCTTCCCCTCTCCCACTGTGCTCTCTCCCACTCAATTTGATCTGCCTGCAAACAGCACGAAGGCAGGGGCTGACTGGGCGTACGCCAGCTAAGGCCTGTCCAGCATGCAAATTATGACTTTGAGTCCATCATCTCCCTCCCTCTCCCATACACAGGGCTCAGCCCCCCAGGCTAAAATTTGCAGCCAGCTGTTGCTGCTCACAGTCAGTTGCCATCCCTGCTGAAGAGCCACGCACACAGGCTGACCCTAACCATTAAAGCTGGCCCACCAGCGCTTAAGTGCGCACAGGCACGCTGACTATTGGAGCGAGGGACAAAAGCCAGCTGGGTCCTTCCAGCTCCTTTTAGGAACATCAGCGCAGCTGAGGGACAGCTGGGCTTCCTTCTCATGAACGACTGTCATCTAAGGCTGTTGTGCACAAGCACCGTGCTCAAACTGTGCACGCCCCAGCAGTAACAGGCCTTCTCACATCAGGAGCAGCTGCTCAGGCAAAAGGTGGTGGCTGCAGAGAGCTGTTCCTCCCATCTCTGAAAACCCTCACAGTGGGAGAGCTCTGGGTAGCACAGTCCTTTGGTGAAACACACAGGCAGCTGCAAGCTGGGAGAATGCCTCTCTTTGCAGGGACCTAGGAGTTAGTGCTATGCCACCATACCTGGTATGTCAGCTCCTTTATGCGCCTCTCAAACTTGCGGGCACCTTTTTGGGCATCTGAATTACGCCGGAGTTCATTCTCAAGGTCATTCTCCAGCTCACGAACCTGCCAAAGGGAAAAAAAAAACCCTTTCCATTATGTCATATATTTAAAGCAACAGATAATTTAGTTTGCAGTTCAAGCAGTGCTCGTTTTTTGAAGGATCTCCGTAGAGCTGAACTTCTGGAACAGATCAAAATAGAGCCTTTCCATGATGCTTCTTCATAAATATATGTGATATATTTATATTACTGCGCTAATAATCAGAGATCCCACTCGGAAAAAGATGCTCTACAGATAGATGTGAAAGCCAAAGCACGCAATGGATTTTTTTTTTCTTTCTCCTTAAGCCATGGGTTTGGTCATCTGTTGTGCAATAGTAGCT